TCTTCACCACTGGCAACGCTTGAGCCCATTCCTCACGTGGGTATTATCTCACCCGCTCCACCTCTCTCCATCAGTCGACGAGAAGCCGTGAACTGGCAGGTGCGCACCCATCGCGCGCTTCGAGAATCTCGCGGCGTCGACAATGTTTACAGCGCTACTACAGCGTCCGCTGCTTGCCGCACGATCACGCAAACGGGCGCGACGCAGTCGCGGCATGCTTTCTGCTAGTGTTTGCGTTGCTTTACCGGCTGTTGCTGGCACCGCGAGGGTTAGCAAAATGGATTGCTTTCACGAATGACGAGGTCGACACCGACGATGCGCGAGCAAGGGAAACCGAACGCAAGCGTCGGAAGTGGAAGACCACGAGAATACAGACGACGCGTGGGTAACACTGACACGAGTCAAGGAAGCCGAGTGCAAGCGTCTTCAACGCGTCTCGCCTCCTGTGTCTGAGTTTCAAAGAAATGTATACTCAATTATACGCTATGCGAAGTTTTGCTTCAAATCGTTCTTCCAGCACCCGCATCGACACCCGTTTAAACCGGGTCAACGCCATGGGCACCGCCGCTGCTTCGCATCCCATCAGGTGGATAGGCCATAGTTTTTCCGCAGAAAAGCGAGTGCGCTAGTGAGCACTGTTGATCAAAGAAAGAAATGGTACGCTGTCGGCCTTTATACTTGCACGTAGGACATTAGCACTATATATCGCGTGCACTCGTTTGCAGTTATACTTATAATAAAGACTCGCTAACACAGCGCTTCCAGATTGAAATTCAGGGATTGTCTTGCGCAGAACATCAAATTAAAGTTTTCGTTCACACTCTCCGCACGCAACACTATGCTCTTACGACGACATTTTCAGTGAAACATGCAGATACGGGGCAATTTTTTATATATTTGTTTTAGTTAACAAATACTTTGTTGTGCGCAAGTGCTTGCGAATAACTTAGATAGCTGTTTTAAGAGAGGAGAAGTGGAGAGAGGTTAATTTTTCAATAACTTGTTGTACTTAGCTAAAGCTAAATAACCTTTTAGAGGAGAATATATTAATTTACTTATAATTGAGGCCTCAAAGTGCGCATTCGAATTAGTCATTGCACGTCAGTAAGCCGCAGGCCTTTAGATGGTCTACATAATATAGTCTCTATTATGTAGATGGTCTACATAATATAGATGGTCTACATATATAATATTATAATATAATATTAGTAAGAAAAACGCATTTAGATGGCCTAAGTAATACAGTCTTCATGAAATATTTAGAAGTAGGCTTCTGGCAGTCAACATGTTATGCTCTGTGAAATATTAAGGAGAGTGTCTTAGGACGACCTACGTAATACGGTGTTTAAAAATGTTAGGATTAGCCCGGTATACGGTCTATAAACTATTGTTATTACAACGAAAATATTCGTAGACGGCCACTAATATTACCAAATGGTTACTAGATGGCCTTCTCAATTTTATTAGTCGTTTTTCGCACAGAAAAGGCACTGAAAACCCTCTGTCTCTCTGCCTTACGTATTTCTTTGTTATAATTTTCTGGCTCCTTTTGTATAGATAGCTGTTATGAGATCCTAAGGAAGGTGTCATATTATTTCGCCGCCGTCACTGCCGGTTAACATAACTAGTATCGCGAAAATTGGTGAATAAAAATTAAGAAATAAGTCTTTCCACAAAACAAGAGGGTTCGAAGCCTGTCACTCTCTAAGGCAGCTAATATTTAACCCCAGAGACATGCCTGTGCTTGGACCTTCATTGAAAAAAAAACGTTATACTGGTGGCATGTCGCAAAAGGAAGAAATCAAACCCAAAGGAGAAGGCAGGGATGTTCATTAGACCGACATCCGGTTTGCTATTCTACAATGAAGGATAAGTGAAGGGGACAAGAAAGATGAGAAAGCGGGAGGAGAAGAAAATAAAAAAAAAGGAAGAGAGAACAGGCAGCAAATTCACGGCAGCCTGTAGAACTTCACCGCGAGTCAGAGGCATTCAGACAAACACGTCATCTCCAAAAAGCACAAGAGGATTTTCACTGTCTTGTGGGCTGTCGACAAATGTGGAGTGTGCTGTAATAGAACCTGCTCAGAAACTGGCCGAACATACAGTCACTGAATCGCGTTGGAAAATGCTTGTCTCTCAGAGGCCAATGTTGAAAAAAAAACGCATTAACATGTCTGATATAGCGGGGTAGAAGAGTAAAATTTACACAATACGAATTCCTTAACCAGTAAATCGTTGAATGCTTCCAAACTTTTAGAAAGAACTCAGCATAACTTTTTGTCATCATAAACCACCGCAACTGTTTATGACATATAGCGAGTACCTTGTAAGCTTAGCTGTGTTAGCAGCCGTTAGGGTGTTCGCGATGGCTTCTAAAAATGCTGCTCTTTCAGCTATGACAGGCTGGCAGACAAAAAACTTTATTTTATATGAAGACGACGCTCACTCCCCCTTAGGGGGTGACATCAGCGGGCCGCTCCCACGACGGGACGGGCAGATGCCACGTCATGGGCTCGGCCACGTCATGGGCTCTCTGGATAGCCCGTAGCTGGTCTTCTTTCTCATTGCTTGTGAGGAGAGAGCGCTAGTCCTATTTTTCTGAGACACCCGGGGCTCTCATTCAGGACAGGTCATTGCGACAGCATCCATGTGTTGCAAAATGCAATGCGGGTTATCACAGCGACGGGAGCCTGGATAACGTTCACATATTTAGAGCACTTAAGTGCAAAAGTGTACCTCAGTCTGCAGTTGACGTAACGTGATAAACTGAGCTCTGTTTAATGTAGGATGCGGGACAGAAAGCTTCACCGTTACAATTATTGGTGAATACGAATTTAATGAAAAGTAAGAAGCGGATCTGGGTAAAACTAGAGCATGTTCTCTGCCTCAGAATGGTTCTTCCGGGCGTGGAATGATAAAGCTGTGACTGTGCTGCACTTTCAGTGCAGGCTTGGTAGGTTTTTAAGCACTAAGGTGCTCGAGGAACCACTGTAAATGTCTTCCCGTATTTTCGCATGTAAGCTCTTACATTATCACAACCTGTCTCAAGGTCTCCCGCATAGAACCGCCAACACTGCCACGCATCTTACACTTACAGTTTAGTATACCTACAAGTAAGGCTTGCGCTCAAAGTACATCATGCACAGTACAAAATTTGGTCTGGAGCGAAAGACACTTTTTTTCTGCAGAAATTTAAGACGTCCTTTCTCTGTTTTTTTGACCCAGATTTTCAGCAAATCACTCGTTGCTTATTATTGCATGATCATCAATGGTTGATGATCATCAACGAGCTTGTTCATCAACGCCCTTCATCAACGAGCTTGTTCAGTAAAAGCTGCAACTAGTGAATTTAGACATCACGTTTCACGAGCACTCACCCCACGTTCTGGTCTCCACCGTGTTGCCTTTCCAATTAGGCGGGGAAACCTCATTAGCGGAGAACTCCGTTCTTCTCGGTATCGGTGCGGAGGTGGCCGCGATGCAGTTAAAACCATAATTTTTTGTTGTTTTTTCCCGTACTTATGAACGCAAGCCCTATAGGAACCGCGTTTTTCTAAACAACCGAGGGCCGTCAGGCGAGCGTTTCTTAATTAGGCATTCTCGTATCATGGCCGCGAAGGGTTCGCCAGGGAACAGCATATATGTACTCGCGTTTGCTGTTGCTTGCTATGCCCAAACGGAGTAGCAACGCTCATGATCCTACAGAGCCTGCCACGTGAAGTAAATAAATTTATTCAAAACAAAAGTCGCGATTCCTGAGATGTTGTCAGAAGCAGATATTCACAACCAAATTACTCCTCAACTCATCTCCCCATTATGTTGCAGGGCTCTCTGATTTTTTTCAATAGTGGCGGCGCAAAAGGCTTCCGCAGACAAAAACAAAGAAAACACATCAACACGAGCATAGTAGTTTTCTGCTCTGTACTGGACTAAGAAACCTTACGCTCCACAGAAAAACAAGGTCACGTTTGGGGTTTTGTTGTTTCAATGGTGATATTTAAACGAAGCCAAGTTCAACAAAGTAACTTGCTGTCTTCTATTCAATTCACAGCGCCAAAACAACAAGGGTTCAAAATAGCAGAAAAAAATATTTCATCAAACACTGGAAAAGCACACCCATCACTACAACAATCCACGCGTTCCTATATGCGAGAACAAGAAATGGTATTCTGCCGAGACCGATATTGATATGTGGATGAGCGGAGACTCTACCCATGCCTTTTATCGACAAAACGAGCGTTTTAATGGTGAAGTACGATTTCGCAACTGCTATCAGATCGTCAAATGTTAAAAAAAAATGAATCAGAAATACTATTCTTTCACTCCAAATTTAGAACCCCCTGCGCGCCGGGTGGTTTTATGGAACGACATTCTTTGAATCCCCACATCAGACGTGATTTGCTGAATTGTAGGCCGAATGACGCCGCAGTTGTGGAAGCACTTTCATGAATTTTACTTGGGGCACTCTACTACGACAAAGCAATGCGTAATTGCACGATTGTGTGTGCGAACAGAATAGCGAATTATGCTGGGTACTGCTCGTCTTGATTTGTAGATTTGTGTTGTTGATAAACATTCTTTCACATCTTCAATTTCTTTCAAAAAAAAACAAAGTGCAGTGTAGCCCTCATGAGTGACCTACGTAATTTTATCATCAATATAACCATTTTAGCCAAAGGTACAAGAAAATATCTTTCGACGTAGTGACAGCGCACGCAACAAGACAGAAAAACCTACGGGTGAAATGACAGGTTTTGCTGTGACATGTCACATTGTTCGGGATTCTTTTTCTTTGTCCTCCTAATAACGCAGCTACTGCACCAACCCTTATTTAGGGGTCACACCTTCTACCGTTGAAACTGGTTTCTATGAGTGAAAAGTTGTGTATAGTTAGTAGGCTGGATGCTCGGTGAGAATTGCATGCTCACTATGAGTATAATATTAGCAACCATTGCAGCGGCGCACCCTCTGGCAGGAGGAGTCAGCATTGGGACGACAAATAATTGCACTGAACTTTTTATTACGTACAGAACTGATACATTCTTTATTATGAGTTAAGAACAAACAAATCCTCAGCCAGCGTTATAAGCATATAGCAGGCAGAAACAACGCGTAAAATATGTTTTTATTAATAGCTCTTGAATAATACGTATTCAAATATAGCATCGTTTTTATTGCGTACACAACTGCCATTGTAACCTATGTGTCAGACATGCTAAAATATTAATAAATGTGGAAAAGGCGCATTTTTTATTGCAGAAAAATGTAGTGAAAATCTCTTCATATGAGGTGGTGCGCACAAAAGTTTTATTCTGGACGCAATGGACGCAAACTGGATAACCAAGGGAACGTCCACATGGTTAGCCGGTGACGCGCCACGTCACTTCGATGAGAGGACTCTTCAGGCTTGGCACGGTGATCTCCCGTAGTTCGCAAACTTTCTCCACTGTGGTGTTCTTTCCTGAAGGAAGAAATACTCATGATGAATAGTTATCCCCAAGCTTAGCTTGGAACGCCAGGCATGCGGGGAAGGCACAGCACACATGCGGGGAAGGCACAGCACAGTTAAGTTGAAGCTAGAAGAGCGGCCTGTCAGAGCATGCATTTTCATAAGACTTATAGGGCAACTACTGCAAGCGCACTTCCTTGATACCCACTAGGGGTATATTAAAAATTTTTGGGTAGTGGGGAAGCATTCGCTATGTTCACTTTCGTCATTCTTCTGAGAAGCGTGGTATCCGCTAAACACTTGCAAGGGAATTCGTGCCAATAGGTAATGAAGTGGCTGATGACGATGAGGAATCATGGCTGAAGTGGCTATGTGCCAGAGTTAATGGGGGAAGAACAACAAGCTTTCGTGATGGGTTTGAGCATTTGATGCTCAAACCCATCACGCTACACACATTGTGCGACGACTGGTTGTTCTTTCACTCTTTTAAAATGTTTTATACGTCGTATTACCACGATTGCTTTCCTGACATTAAGCCTGCCTAACGCCAGTTTGCCAACAAGTTACAAGCACCAACATAGATCAATTGTATGATACTGGCTTAGCACCCAGCGGACCCGGTTTCCAGCACCACTGTGTCGTTTGTGCTAAGTTTCTTTTTTCTAATTTCACGCGATGTGGATACGGACACCAGTAACGGCAGCGAACAACTGCGCGCGACACGAGTGGTGATCTCATAACAGCTTCCGCTGTAAAAGACATTGTGGTAACTGCATGCCATCGATACCTGGCCATTTTCGGGGCCATTTCAAAACTAAGCAATTTAAGAGAGTGGTGCAGCATGACAATCTGAACAGATCACTATTCTTAACTCGATTTTTTTTTCAGAAACAGCAGCTACTTTCGACTAGATAAAACCGCTGCACTATCATGATGCTGTGAAAACAGTACGTAATTGCCGAAGTAAGGATGGTGTGACATCATATATTATCTTTACTGTAGGGCGTAGACTAATAATAGGTGGATTTATTGGCTCGGTATCACAAATCCTCGTCAACCTTGTGGGAGTTCGAATAAATGATTTTGAATTTATAGTGTCCATTTGCTTTGAGTTTTGATTGGTCTACAAACATCCCACTAGTATATAGCATCCTGACTAGCCTAAATGGTAAACGACTGCCCCTTTCGATTGTTAGTTTCTCGTTTAATCATCATGCCAAGAGGAATTTTCATGTGAACACACATTGTAATATTACAGCCCATGTATACAAATCACACTTGCAGTAAAGTGGTAAATATGCCCCGCCGCGGTGGTCTAGTGGCTAAGGTACTCGGCTGCTGACCCGCAGGTCGCGGGTTCAAATCCCGGCTGCGGCGGCTGCATTTCCGATGGAGGCGGAAATGTCGAGGCCCGTGTGCTCAGATTTGGGTGCCCGTTAAAGAACCCCAGGTGGTCAAAATTTCCGGAGCCCTCCACTACGGCGTCTCTCATAATCATATGGTGGTTTTGGGACGTTAAACCCCACAAATCAATCAATCAATCAGTAAAGTGGTAAATAGAGGTCATAACAAGGTTCAAAAACAAAGTTAAATAACGAATAAGGTGTAAATTAATAAAAACAACGGAAATATTGAAGATCTAACTGCTACTTTCAACTCATAATTGCTAAAAACATCTGGATAACATGCAACTTGCACCGACGACGAACATGAGATTGGGGAGAACGGCTCACCCTCGCCAAGGGAGTAATCTTCCTCCCATTACACTTCGCGGGCGCTGCGTTGCTACCCTTGCTACCTATGATGACTGACGCAATTTGTAGTGCATGTCACATGTCGCATAACAAGTCTGTTACTTCCCCTAAAACAATTCTACCAGTGCCGGGTAACTACATGTTTAGTGTCATCCAACATTGGCGTCATCAATAGTTCAGGTGACATGGCGGTGGGTACTCCACGAACGGGAAGCAGTGGGTGTCTATGCCACGCACTTCCTCCAATTTTTCAGTAGTTGAGCAGCCATACATCTTTAACCGTAGCATAAAAGAGCTCGTTTTGTTGAAATTCCGGCGTCAGTGCGGGCGCCATCGGTTGTGAGCGAAAAATTATTGTCTTATGCATGACCGAAAAATTGACAACGATGCGAACGAAATATATTATACAAATTGCTGGGTCACATTGGGGATCGAACCTGGGTCTTCTGTGTGGCAAGCGCACATGTAGTTATACCATATGGTCACGCGTCTGCGTGTGCATACCAGCCAATCCAGTAGCGTTCATAATAACTTCGAGGTTCAAAGCTCTTCGCCAACTACAAAAGGCACGTATGCCACTGCACCTGTTCCACTAAAGCCACGTAGTGCGTGCATAAAAAGTTCGAAATGTGTTCAAGCACTAAGTGTTTGAAGTACGCGCCAGGAAAACGACATCGCTATCGTGTGCAACTCTTAAAGGCAAAACTTCAGGGGCCACGAATTTTTTTCTGCTAGAAAGATTGGTATTATTTGAAACCCAGGCGGAATTTTCGTCCCTCCTTGCTACGGAGAAGCGCAAGACAAGTTGCAATTTTATGGCCCTGAACGGTCACACAACCAGTAGCTGTATATTGTCGTCGAGTACCTCGGTGTATTGAAAAAAATGACAGCTTTGGACTAATCGTGCCAGCCCTGAAGAATGTGTGAAGGTAGCAAGCGTTTGTATTCATTTACCTTCCTCTTTCTTTTCTTTTCCTTTAAGCCTCTCTGTCTAGTTTCTACTGCATTATATTTTTCTCTCCAATTCTTCAATCCCTGTCTTTTTATTTTAGGGGCGAAACTCCCTAGGGTGTGTGTCCGAACATCCTACGTTGGCACATACCCGTTCTGGAGCGGTAATGTGCCACAGGGATGCGAGATAGTGGTACTTGGAGTGGTCACAACATGGACGCGCGGACGGACGCGTGGGCTGATGAACAGACAGACTAGCAGACAGACGGACAGGTGGATTGGCGCGTGAAGTGGATATGTGCCACAGTGGATGTAAGATGGTGGTACTTGGAGTGTTCACAAGATGGACGCACGGGAGGACGGTAGAAAGACTAGAAGGTGGACGGACAGATGGGCGGACGCGCGGACGGATGGATGCATGGACAGACGGGCGGACGCAGATGGTAGCGCGGACGGACGCAAGCACAGACGAACGGACGGACGGAAGCACGGACGGGCTGATGGACGATTCGCCCCACTCATCATCATTCACTCCGTGGATATGTTGTGACTTTTTTGGCTTGCTTCCTCTTTTCTCTTAAATTTTGAAACGTGGTTCTGACAAACATGACGGAAGCATACTACATCTTACGACAGCCCGGGCACTTGAAGTGTTCCAAACATAATATCATCATCAAGACACTAGAAGAACAAGATGAGGAAGCTTTCTTTGACGTGAGAGCACCGATGACTAAGCGGTATATGGTTTTGTCTGTGATGATGATATCACGAAGATGCTCGAAGAACAAGATCAAGAAATCTTTCTGTGGCGCGAGCGTGTGCTGAATTTTTGAAAGATGGCTGTGGTGCATGTGGTTTTCTGTGTATTAACCATCAGCAAAGCGACGAAAAAAGCACAGGAAACAGATGTCCCTCCAGCATGAGCGCTCGCTATAAATGGCTATTTTATATGTGGCTTTTCCTGCGTTATGCAAGGTGATCAAGGAAGTACACGACAGTCTACTTTCCCAAAGCACTCCACGCTTAAAATGTTCTGACTGTGTTCGATGATCACATCTTGAAATGATGGGACGTATGAAGTACATTCAAGAGAAAAAAGTTTCTCAAAACGCAGACTTAATGTGACGAATTATTCCACCATGGCGTCTCTCCTGATCATATGGCGGTTTTGGGACGGTAAACCCCACATATTGATCAATTTGACAAACCATGAGTATCTGGTCGTTTAATAAGCCACGTGTCATCGAATCTTTCGGTGGAATCACCAAATCAAAACACATATATAGTTTAACACGTTAATCTGCTCATTAGAACAACCAGCTCGGTGTCAAAACTTTGAATAAGGCTTCCAATTGGTTTGAAACAGTTAAACTAGAACTTACATTCACCCTGAATTCACAAACCTAAGTTAACCTTATTCTTATCACTTACGGTAACCTTAGATATTGATCCACTCTTAATGCGTTTCAAGTACCCATCTCCTACTTATGGTGGAACTTTCCCCGTACCTAAGTAAGGCTCGGTTAAGGTTAAGGTAGCCTATCTTACGGCTTGCTTAAACAACATGGCAGGGGACGACAACTTTGCGTATTACGTTGATTATGCGGACCTAAAAAGAAAAAAAAATATATTGAATAGCACAGCGTCCACGCATACGTCAATGCCGCGCGGAATTTATAATCATGGACGGAATTTTGTTGAGACCTACGACAAGCAGGAATTTTTGTGCCATTCCCGGTTCCAGGAAAGTGCAGTGAAGAATCTGCTCGTCGTGCTGTTTCTGGTCGTAGGTTCTTCGTACCCCGTCTCGTGCAGCTGCTCATCGCATAACGCGTTTATGGAGTGGGCGCGTTTCAGTTTGGGAGTGGCCGCTTTATCAATGTCTCGTAGCCGACCGTGTCACAAGTATACCGTCTGCGGATGGTTGAAAAAGCACTTTTTACCGTACCGGTGAAATTTCTTGAAGTGGCGCAAACACTTTTCTAGTTCTTTGGTTGGCCCTTCACAAATGCACGGTGTATCGATTGTTGAATTCTATCGTGCACTGATTCCAGGTTTTGACGTTCTCTGAATGCACATGGCGTCCTTTTTTCGTACTTGTTTGCAAAGTCCATCAGGATGCAGCCACTTCTTCGGTGAAGTTCACTTCAGTGCACCGTTCCACAATAAATGAAACTTCTTTAAAAATGCAGAGAACCCTTCAAACTATTAAATAAATGTAGTGAAATTTCAAATAAAGAGAAAGAAAACAGCAAACAGTGTAGCAAGCATGGTAACCCCACCGAAAACAACGAAAACACGGATGACTTGAAATAACAAAAAATGCCTTCGCCGATGGGACATGAAGAAAAGTGGCTAGACGATAAATGTGTATTTCACCGAAAGCTCCCAGTGCCTAAACAAACATTGCTACTGTTTATGTTTGGTTTCTTCTGTGCATAATAACCTTGCTTTTTCGTATCAAAGCTAATTTGTTGCTACTTGAGGTAATGATATTGTAGCAAGAATTTATGCACCCTCATATGCCTATACTTGACGAGTTGAGGACGCCTTTAATAAGGCGCCCTTATGACAGAATAAGGGATGTTTCTGAAGCACACTTTGTGCTTTTCTTATACTTTTCTTATACCTTTCTCGTCCCGTCGTAAGTGGCCCGACCACCATAAGATAAAGTGTAGGCCCGTGTGCTCAGATTTGGGTGCACGTTAAAGAACCCTAGGTGGTCGAAATTTCCGGAGCCCTCCACTACGGCGTCTCTCATAATCATGAAGTGGTTTTGGGACGTTAAACCCCACATATCATCAACCATAAGATAAAGTCGGTTCATGAATACGGAGGTTAGGGACCGTTTTGATAAGGTGACAAGGCTTATCTTGTTTGTATAGCTTTCTACGTCCCAAATAGAAAATCTTAGGAGTACTTACCAGCTATCCCTGACATAGACAAGTCTCCTCGTCGGAACGTTGTCTGCTGTTACATTCCCTCTTACTCAATTTTGCTGTCGCCTTATGCCAATGTGTTGTCCCTAACGTTATCCTCATGGTCACGTGACTTACTTTCGCTTTGCGTGCACTCATTTATAAATGCGGGCTAATAAATAAATTAAAAACGATATTCGGCATGCACAATGCTCAGAACGTTAGTTTGCCACAAATGAGGTGTCTTGAACACAGGGATGGCTGTGCGTTTAAACAGAGAGTAATAATCTTCAGTTATAACATTATTTGGCGTACTTGAGCTCATGCATTACTAGCTGACGGATCAAAGCGGTAGCCGCAGTGCACGGACCCTTTTGAATCACAATGTCTGAGCACTCTAGACTTCTTTTATGGCGTTTTCACTAATGTTAATGCCAGTGCGAGAGCAAGAAATAAGTATGCAGTTTTATCTAGGTGCAGCGCTTTTAAGTTACCTTGAGACTCTTCTGCTTGTTTGTACAGCATATGCAGTTGATAAAATGTACGACAACTAGCCAACAATTGCACTTCTAAATTTACAACCTACTTCCACTTAGACGTGACACATACATAAGCCTTATGTTTCCTCATCACAAAATGATCGGCCACAATAGCTGCATACAAGATGGCCTGCATGATGCAAGTGTTGCGACTTTCGTTTTTGTTGGGGCGGTGTGTTTAAGCCGTTACGCACAATTGCAAGTTTCTCTCATGTTCACGCTTGTTCATCGAGGCAGCAGAAACACGGCAAAAGGCACTTTTTTTCGCTTTATAGAGTGCATGAAAACAATATAACAATGAAAAGTATTGGAGTGAAAGTTATGCATACCGCCACTGTACTCAGGAATAAATTATATTTTACAGCCACTTACCAAACAATTCTTGGACATTATTATCCGTGACATTTTTTGGCAAATCTGGAAAAAAACAAAAAATACCGATGTATCCTAATGTAGACACACTAGAACAAAATAAGTAGCTGCTTGCAATATAATACAAGTTTTTAAACAGTGCGTATTGAAGAAGCAACGAACATTGCAGTCTATTTCACAAGTTTGTTAACAAGCCCGAAGTCAAATAAAGATGTGACAGTTGTAAAAAAAAGTGTTCACCAGGCTAGATTGAAAGTAGGACACTTTGAATGACGATTACCTTGCAGTCGTAGAATTAACAGTGGAACTTCAAAGCAAATGATAACATATCTGACCTATGATGTAAAGCCAGTTATTTATGTATGATGTGAACGTATTTCAAATTGAAAAGCAGGCATGTGCGCGAAACAACAGAAGGCGTGATGTGTCAAGAATTGCTGAAGCCGCGTGAGCTGCACGTATAATTTCAAGGGCGAATCTCGCAAAGCCGTTGATTCGTCCATGCATGTGGGCGACTTGTTTGTAACCACCTAGTAGCAGCAGGTGGCGTTAGGGTGAGTGACAGACAGACGGACAAAGAGACAGACAAACAGACAGACAAACGAGTGGACGGATGGATGGATGAACAGGCAGACAGACGGACGGCCGGAGGGACACATGTATGGACATATGGATGGACACACGTAGCACGGACGGACGCAAAGACGGCAACATGAACAAATGGACGGATGGAAGCAAGAACGAACGGACAGACGGAACCATGCACATTCAAATGCATGGATAGACAGACAGAAGCATGGACGCACAGATGGACGGGCTAATATGCAGACGCTTCACCCCACTCGTCATCTTCAATTCCGTGGATATGCTGCGATATTTTTCGAGAGCGTGATGCCTATGCTTTAATTAGGACAGAAAATGCAACCCCCTGTTGTATATTGTATCATAGAGTTTCAGTACAATAGCACCGGCTGTTTAGAGAGTATATAGAAACCACGTTTACCTGGCTTGAACTATTGACCGAAACGCAACACGAAAAGGCTTTGTCATAATCATGAGCCAGAGCCAAACGCATAGTTTGTAAGACCGAAGAAATATACTACGCCAGAGGATGGTCGACAAAAAAGACCTGTGTCCCAAAGGATCAAGATGCTCTTCGGAGCATAACTGGCTTGCTTTATCAGCATTAACATCGTTTTAGCAAATAACAAGGCCAAGATTGTTAGTTCTCAGTATCGTTATTTTTCTACACTGGTCAGCTAATTGTTGTATAGATTCTTACTTACCTTGGAAACTTTTATCGTCGTGCTTGAAAGTAGTGAGGAGGTAAGTGTACCCGGGCGCCAGCAACGTCTTCATCATATTTATGTATCTGCACATTGAAGGAGTGCGAAAGTTAGTACTGTCAAGCCTAGAGAGAATGTGAACTGCCTGCCTTCAAGTTATTTACCTCTCTCAATGATAGTGCATCCTGGTTCGAGAACTGCCAGCAGCTAGACATACATTTCACTTCATGTATACAACACTTTAGCTCATCAGGTTTGGCTGTAAAGCATGGCGGAACAAGTTAGGTTGGGTCAACAGCATGCCAAAAGCTATAACAGCAGCGTCCAAAGTCGGCGTAAACTCCCGTATGGGGCTCCGTTATGGAAAGTCTAGACATCTGTAGCTGCAGGAGGCTTGTTCTCTGGTCCTAGTAGTACATTACAGCAAAAAACATTGATGGGCTCACCATGTGCACAGCGTTAGGGTACAAAAAGAATGTGCGGCAGCTGTCTTTCTTTGTACAGCTGCCTTGTACCCCTGCTTTTTCGGATGCAATTAAGGTAAAGAAGCAAAGGTAATTAGAAACTTAACATCGAAATGGTCAATCGAATTGGTGAGAAATAATATTGCCAATCAAGAGTACCAGATATATAATGAACCCATTAGTGCCACAATTCATTTTTAGTGCGTAAACTAAATTATAGTTCTATCGTTCAAAAGCAAAATATGAGTACAGGGAGCAACAGAAACCACTGCGTAGTGAAATTTTCCCACGTAGCGAGTGCCACATGCGTTTTGTATTCTCGCTCTCATTATCACATCAGAAGTAATAAAAATTAAGCACCACTTTCAACAAAACATTTCCATAACGCAGGCTTCATAAATTTGCAAGATTAATTATTATGCCTGAGGAGGCAGTTGGTGGGCCTCGTGTTCTAAATATACAAGATTTACCGGAGTTTTTCCTTGACCGGGACTGGCTGAAACACTGTCACCTACACCGTGTAGACATTGTTACTCCAACCATAAGATGACGAGTACGCCACAATGGCAACATAATAACTAATAATTGATAACACACGCAGAAGTATTCACGACGGGAAAGGAAGCCAGAGTGGGTACTGGTGGGCGTTATAGAAGGCGTAGTGAAATTGAGTGCATCGGAAGACTAGAATGCCGATTCCGGTTTAACGGCAAGTTATGGACAGTGACCACAAAAGTGAAATCCCGATTCAGTTGAGACAAGATTCGCGAAACTGACACTATACGTGAATAAAAAGTAGTAGAGGAGGGTTGGGTTATGTTTAGAAGACTGCCTTTAAATAACACAGATTTTCTACCTTAATGACTGGCGCTACGTTCAAGGCATTGCCAGAAAAATGGCAGGAGGCAAAAGAAGGCGTAGCCATGAAATAACAAAAAACGTAATCAGGGGATGTGTGCTGATGACGATGTTTTTAGAATAGACCGTGTCTCATTCACGGTTGAACAAGAAAAGGCTGTCAGCCCTAAAGAGGACAAGTGCGGTTGTCGAAACATCAGCGACAGCACGTTTGTGGATTGCTTTAAGCATTTCCGCAGTTACAGAGCATCACGCACTTGAGGCGATGTTCTTGGGACTCCATGATACAAAGTGTGCCGCGGTCAAACACCACGTCCATCACTCCAGGCTTGGATCTGAAATATAAACGAGAACACTTTGAGAAAAATCACCGCCATTATTACAGAATAAATGATGTTCCGGAAGCTTTCTTGGAGGTATTCGGACCTTTTTTGGCGAGATGCCTCGTGGCTATATCTTCTAATTGATTACCGAGATAAAAAAAAAACTATTATAACAAGGACTCGATAAACAAGCATCAGACATCTAGAAGTATCAACACTTTTGTGACAGAATCTGTAGCAGCACATTGAAAATGAAAAAATACCTTATTTAAAGAAGCTATTCCTTAGGCAAGTTTATAATACATATGACAAGCTTGTGGCTCAGAAACACCACAGGAAAAATTAAAGGAACAAAGTAATTAGAATATATTTTTCTTTTTCTTTTAAATGCCTTTTGTAATTGAATTGCATTCTAGGTAGGACCATTTAAGCCACAATTCATAATGTCATAATCATGGAGGTGAATGGCTACAGCTTGGATAGTTATTAAAAAATACTAGGTAAAATTACGGGGACAACAAGGCACCAATACCAGCGCTTGTCTGTGTCTGTTTTTGTTTGCTTAGTTATGGGCTGTAATTTATAGCAACAACCAAAAGCATAGTCTCTAATTACGTTGAATAATCCCATATAGGTAACTTTAACTTAGTTCGCTGTGTTTAAAACTGCTCAGAAAAGAAAATTCTTCAGATAATTCCGTTCTGAGTGTAACTTTTCACCTTACGCCTGCAAGGTAGCCTCCTCTGCCAATTAAACTTAGCGTAGTCCAACAATTAGGGCATTTGAACGACACAACATAGGCGTGCACATTGAACCGAAAAAAGTTTAGGGACCACGCGAGCGTGTAGCTGACAATCTTAATGTGACGTTTCGGCCACGCCAAAATTCGTGACATCTGAGCAGTACACGACGAATAAGCTTCTTTCCTTCAACAGGCGGTCCAAAGATTTCGTGACTATGCCAGAATGTATTTTTTCCACATTTTATTATCACCCGCTCGTTAGAAGCCACGGTTAAATGTCACTGAGTGAGCAGTGTGTAAATATAACAATTAATAGTCGCAACCCCCCGAACCCATTATGCCGAGTGGCAAATCACAAAATGCTGGCAGTGATTGTTGTTATCATTTCATCAAAGTAAAATTGTGGTCGCCATACCGCGTATCGTTTCTTTGTGGGTAGCATGAAGCTGATAATGCCAAGTGAGGCAGTAGAAAAGGGATAGGCCACTGGCAAAGTGTTGTGGTGAACAGTAAGGGTAATGTGGTAAGGAGGCGCGGAGAGGCAGTTTGGCACATGGGTTTGCTAACTTTTCAAAAGGGCTGTACATAGGAGTGTAAGCAAGAATGTAAAAAGTAAGAGAGAGAGAGAACGTAAGGAGGAAGGCCGGGAGGTTAGTTAGGACTGAGCCCAGGTAAGCTACCCGGCACAGGGGAAGGGGAGAGGGGAAGGAAATTTATAGAGGAGGAGAGAAAAGCTCACTGACTGGGCCGACGCCTAACAGTTTTACCATCACAAACGATGAAACAGGCCGGTGTCCTTCAGAAAATGCAACAGGGCTTTTGTTGCCTTTGAAAAACTGAATGGGCAGTGCTATGGTCCCAAGGCTTTCTCGACAGTGAAATCACTCCTGTCCAGTTGATTTAAAATAATGCGCAGGTGAAGCCTCTCATTTGTGTATGCCGGGCAGTCTCGTTGACGTCGCAGTCGATAGTCTCATCAACGGCGCAGCTGTTGCAATCCGCGCTGTCGGCCATTGCAATTTTAAATGAGTACGCATTGATGAAGGCTACGCTCAGACGCAGACGGCACAACACTGTACCTTCCTCCCTAGAAAGACCAGAGGGTAGCCGAAGTCGAGAGATTATAGGGTCGAGAGATTATAGTCGATGGTGTGTGAACTGTGATGACTGTCACTTCGGGGGGTCATGTTCTGCGCCAGCTTACTTAGGTATCTAGCCGAGTCAATCCTAGATAAAGGTACAGACACATGGTTTGTTTGTACGTGTGCATTTCTGACTGCTTCATCGGCGAGGTTGTTACTGGACATGCTGCGATGACTTGGTATCCACTGGAACACAACGTTTTGTCCTTGTTCGGTCTCATAGTGCACCATTTCTGCGATCTCCCATAACAGTTTTGTATGACCCACGACGAAGTGCCGACGAAAGACATTGTAGAGCCGTCTTGGGGTCGCATAATTACTGCTCATCGATTAGCCGGTTGTTGCTTGATATATTCGATGGCACCTAGCAGGGCCACAATTTCCTAACCAGTCGATGTGCTCACGCGACAAAGTTTGTAAGTGATGTTGTTGTGTCGCCATCGAATGATGTTGGTGCCGGTGGAGCTTGTCTGCTGAGTGGATGATTCATCCATGTATACGAGGATTCTGTCTGCGTAGAAGGTGTGTGAACCGCCCAGAGTCGCTTGCTGTAAGTCCAAGGCAGAAATGACTTTTCTATTTTTATTCCTGGGACGTAAAGGCGCACATCGAGTTGTTGTAGGCTCCACAAAGCGGACGGTGAACCCTCCAAGGGTATAAAACCGGATGATAGCAAAGCGCGGTGGGAGCTGATGACCTTAGAAAACGACGCCTGCGGTCGTTGTTCTGACAGAAATGTCAAATGGCTCGATACCAACCGTGAAATATGCCGAATATGTGCTCTCAGCACGTCGATTGTGACGTAGGTCGTAACCGAATGATCCCGAGCCAATATAACTGTTTTAGAGGTTGAGGTAGTTCGTGGTGGGCTGATACGAACACGTAGTGCCTGCGCGCAGTGAAGTGCTCGAATGTTTTTCTTGCAAGTTTTACTAAGTAGAGGAGAACTGTAGAGCAGTACACCAATAAAACGTGCTTTGTATTGCTGTAGCATGAAACTCAATGACGGACCCCAATTTTTTTCAGCGATGATTTTCAGGACGTGCGCAATAGATACCAGTTTCGCTTTCGAGCTAGTCACGTGAGGGCTCCAGGAGAGGTCACTGTCAACAATAACACCTAGAAAACAATGGCTACGCTTGGAATAGAGGGGCTGGCCATTAATGCTTATCGGGTAACTTGTCATCGTCTTGTGCGTGAAGGCCACCGCTGCACATTTTTCTGTTGAGATTGTTAGGCCTTGCGTGCGAAGATAGTCGGATGTTTGCTACGCTGCCCCCTGAATTGTTGCTCGAACTTATAGGCGTGTCAATGCAGATGCCCAGACACAGATGTCAGAGCGTATATTGAAACACTGACTGCTTCCGGGAGAGCTTCCGCCATGCCAAGCAAGGTAAGATTGAAAAGAACAGGGCTTAAAACACCACCTTGCGCGACGCCAAGGCACGTGTAGTGGTCGGAGGTGGGGCCATCTTTAGTGTATACAAAAAAGGATCTTCGTGTCAGGTAGCTTCGGATCCATCGAAACATTCGCCCTCCCAGTTCAATTAACAGCAGTGTGTCTAGTATAGCTTGATGGGAAACGTTTTCATATGCACTTCCACATCGAGAAAGAGCACAAGTGCTAGTCGTTTCTAAAACTGTGAGCGTGTGAAGCGCCACATACAATTTTTCATTGCATTTGCAATTACTTCTTTTAACCCACACGAGGAATAATTTCTGCAGGTGTCCTCCACTTCATCTTCATCATGTGTCCATTCTATATACCGATTTACCGGCGAGGATGAAGTCTCTTGGCCATCAATGCTGACATAATTCGGAATGTGATTGCTACCATGGGTTTCAATATCTGTAAACCTCCGCATTTTTGAACTTAGGCAGCACGCCACCACTGTCAGGTCGAGGCAGCTGCTGTACGTCGTTACTCGCAGGTATGTCGGGCTACCATCACTCAGAAGGCGCAGGTTGTGCTCTGACACAAACGATATCAGTGAGCGCCCCTTCGAGTTTGTCTTCAAGCCTCCCCATATCGGATGATGTGCATTGAAATTACCTGTTATGATGCAAGGGCCTTGGAATAGCTGCCATAATGTCGGTTAATCTCTCACAATCAAATGAACTTGTGGGGGATATATATACGCCAATAAGTGTAAAAGACAACCGCTTCTTCTTCACAGTAATGCACACGTACTGGTTCTCGTCATCTAGTGGTAAAGCATGGGTGAAATAAGTAAGGTCCTGGCGAATGTAAGCAATAACTTGGCTGCTACTTCCATTCGTGGTTGAAGCGAAAGGCTCGAATTCTGATGTTCCTATAGTCGATGAGTTCGGCTCACAGAATACCATTATAGGGAAACGGTTTTTAAACACGAACAGCCAGAAACCCAATATCTGGGAACTCAGGGCTTTCACATTATATTGAAATTTGAAGGCGTTTCGAATATCATCTGCAAACGATAACTGTTCCCGTTGACAAGCCATGGTTCTGTTGTTAATCTTGTTAAGCATTCAACTTCTGAAGGCTTGCTAGAACCGGGCTGACGGTATCCAGCCGCTACATGCGCTTCGTGCTATTGGTGTTTGCACCCTCTCCATGAACAGACGAATGGTACTCAAGAGCGAGCTGACCATGGCGACTATTTGTTTATCCTTCTCTGTTGGTTTAGAAAATTCGGACGAGGAGTGCTTCACTGATGAAGTCTGATGCCACTCTATAGTGGCGTGTAGACGAGGAAGTTCCGGCCAGGCTTTTTTATCCTTCGACCCGACTGCGCTTGTTCTGGGAGACAGAAGTGGAGGCGACTTTGAGCACGGTTCTTGAGGCAACAGTGCCTTGGATGTCTTGGAGTGCCGTCAATGACTTCATCGCCATCGTCTAATAGATGCGGCTGCTTCCCGGTGAGATGAGTGATCTCGAAATTTTCAGCCCTGCCAATTCTCTTCGAATAATTGGAAAGTCCTTCGAAGATGCATTATGAGGCCTGTCACAATTCGAACAATAATTCCGTGTATGGGATCGACATTTGATAGTGGCGTGAGCTTCAGTGCATCGGGCACAAATGGTGGTGTTCTTGCACACACTGCTCACGTGATACAACTTGGTACATTTTCTGCACTGAAGTGGCCTCGATACGAAGGGACAAACAGCGTGCCAAAAGTGTCCCACCTTCACGGGTGATGGGAGGGTCTCACCCTTGAATATGGTCTTCACGCAACGTGACGTGCCGAGATGAAAAACACGTGTGATGATGGTGCCTTCTGTAGCGGGCTTGATCAGGATTGGCAAGTCTGTGTTGACTATGGCATCGTCAACATTATAAATTACTCCAGTGATGACTTCTTTGCCGAACAGTATGTGGGAGCGGACTGCCATGCCATTGAGCTCTGTGACCTTGCGCAATATGTCCATCACAGCTACGTGGTTAAAGTCAATGGCTAGAAATTTTTGCGCGTTTTCAGCCCTGCAGTCTTTGATTTCGTTTGGCACCAGTAGCCTCCAGTTGTGCATACATGGCCTCGCTGTTGAGGCGCCTATATTGTCCGTGGCGAGAACTGGCATGAACAGGACGGTGAATGCCTCGATACTACGCGAAGGTCTTAAGGTGGACACACTCGAATTGAACGGTGTGCTCATAAACAATCTCTTCCGCCTTTCGGCTTCCTCACCAGCTCGAAGGTGTCATCACCAGACTCTTCACTGCTGACATAATAGTTCATGGTATCGTCACTGTCAGTGTAGCTCTCGGCATCGTTTTGCTTCCTGGAGGCAGCTTCCACGGAATTCGTGGGGTCTGGCGGAGGCGTGTGCGACTCCTTCTCCATCGCATGCCGGCAGGAACCCGCTTTTGGCTGGTGAAAACAATGTTATCCACAAAAAAATAGAAAAACTGAAGGACTAAGCGTTCTCTTTGTTGTTGTTGTTGTTGTTTTTGTTGTTCACCTATTGATAGTTCTGTTTGTTTGTTTGTTTGTTTGTTTGTTTGTTTGTTTGTAGCCTAGAATTCATGGCTCATACCCACTCTGGGAGATCGGCCAAGAAAACATAAAGTCTCATATGGACAATCACTGCACTATTGTTTACAACAAAAAAAAAAGGGGGAGGAGTTGTAGAATGAAAACAGTATATTAAAAAAAGAAAGAAACCAAAGATTCAGATAGTAAGAAAAAAATCAACAATAAAGTAGACGCTAATAGCTATACCTTGATTTTGGGATTCGACCAGACAGCTGGTTTTGCCAAACCCGAATTATTTGGTATGTCACAAATTTATCCAGATTTGAACATTACTTTTCGACCCGACCCAGTTTTTTTGAGTACCCGTTAACGTGGGCTCTATGTTGAAAAACGTTTAGAGTCTCGAATAAAATTACACACCGCATCGAATGCATCTCTGAGGAAATTTCCCAAAACTGAGGCACCAAAATTTAGAACATTTTCTGTGGTTAAATTTAAACCTAGCTTCGGAAATGAAATATCTAGAAGTCGTTTTCTAATTAATGCATAGTTACGACATTAGCCAAAATAATGTTCAATAGTTTCTGATTCTTCGCAAAACAGACCAAGGGGGGATAATGTCAGACTAGCTCTGTGAATATCAAAATTCAATGGGGGTTCACGGCACCGGAATCTGGAGATTATCATTTCAAGTTTTTTTGACGGACTCCACTGAGCTTTCCACGGAACATGAGGTGCTGATAATCTGTCCATTGTGTGATATTTTCTAAACTATCTGTAAAAAAGCGAAGTTCTTATATCTAATACCTGATAAGTATTCTAAATCGGGAAGTACTGAAATTACTGGTCCATCAAGTGATGCTCGTGCCAAAGCATCTACCAATTCATTAAATTGTAATCCGCAGGGACCTGGGACCCACACTAATTTGAGGAGTTTTAAATGCGTTGGTGCTAATGTGTGGAACGCTGCTAGGGCACGTGTTTGTTCGGAGGTTGTCAGAGCTGCACACACCGAAAGTGAGTCTGTTAGGATGATTGCACGGGTCTCGGTCGTTGGAATTTTTCGAAGAGCTAAAATAATAGCTTTTAGCTCGACTTCAAATATAGGAGTGAAATCTGGAGGCCTCACTGAAAAAGACCAGCCGAGGAAATCAGGTGTTCTGTCAGAGAAACACTTCGTCTTCGTCTTCACCAAAAGTAAGAAAACTACCGGAACCCTTGAAGCACGAAGTGGGTCAAGCACGTTTGCGTAACTATTCTAACAAGCGAGTTTAAGTTTTCTAAAAGAATATTCATTATTATGTTATTGTTATTATAAAAACCTCTTGCAGGTACTGAGTTATGCATGATTAGCAGTAAGAGATGCCTTAGCTATCCCAAGCCAGTGACATTGCCAGGGAGTAGTCCACCAGGCCCACGCCTTTCTCAAATTTTGTTTCTTCCTTGGGATACAAAGTACAAAATGACAATTGATCACACTTGACATCCCGGTGTCCATTTCAAATCAAGCACGTGCCCCCCCCCACCCCCCGAAAAAAATTTCACCCCTAAGCCACTGCTCCAAGCTTACGTCGGTTGTTTACTCTATTAATACTGTAGTGGGGTAGTAATTGATTGTCCTTCGAGCCTGGAACCTTTGCCGGAAGTGAACATTTAGTAAAAAAAAGAAAACATGACGGCCGCTCTTACCTGATGAAGTCAACTACGTCGCAGCAGTAAATGCTCAGTCTTTTGTCTGTTGTCTGCAACAATTAGAGAAATCAGATGACCATTATTTAGCAATAAACCACACACTTGATAAAATTGCTATGTATATAGCGCATCGAGATATATATACATTCTTTAGTGGTACGAACAAATGGAATGAAAAATTATTCAGCGTGCTGAATTGCTAGAGTTCACGTTTAAAAAAATGGTTTGCTATCCATAAACACGTTAACTGACAGCCTTAGGGCTCGTTCACACCGAACGCGGTGAAAGCGGCAAGGAAGAAGAGCAGGAAAAACCGTCTCTTCTGGCGTCTAAAATGGGCGAAAACTAGGCGGCTAGTCTCCCGTATCAAATTTTTGCCCCCACTGAGGCTCACTGCTTTGACACAGCCAATAAGAACCCCATGTGGCAGTGGCGTTGGTGTACCTTTGAGAGAAACTTAGCCACACAATAGTGACACATGCCCATAAGTAGAAATGCCCGCCTCCTCTACCACGCGGCCAGCCAAAGGAGGCGTGGGGTCTTAACAAGGGCAGACACTCTCTGCCTCGCCGCTTCAAAAAGCCCACTTGCCCGCTTTGCCATGCCACCTTCAATGCGAACGAGCCTCGTTCACACCAAAGGTGGAGTGGCAAATCAGAAAAGCGGGCTTTTCAATGCAGTGAGATGACCAGGCGCGCACCTTTTTTGACGACACGCCTCCTTTGTCTGGCAGGGTAACACCGGAGGTCAGCATCTGTGGCTATTTCGCACCTCTCGCTATCTTGCAGCACTGCTTTTTTAAAGACACACCAGTGCCACCACTGTGCTAATACCACGTGGCGTTCTGATGAGATGCATGCGGTTAAGAAGCGAGCTTCGGCAGGCGGCAAAAATTTGTCCGGAACGACCACCTTTGTCGCCTCCTTTTCATCCTGCTTTCGACTCCTAGAGAAAAGGTCTTTCCAGCTTTCCGCTTAACCAGTTTACCGCTTTCACTGTTCCGTCTTCGGTGTGAACAAGCATTTATGGCGTCTAAGTGTATGTATTGTTTACAGCCTCCTCAAAGCAGTCAGATGCAGAAGAGGGAACGTGTATTAAAAAGGTGTTCGGGGAAGGCGGAAGGTGTTTGTGTGTGGTTGTGGTAAAATAAAATGTAGGAGTAGATATAAAAATAAGGAAGCGTACCGAATCAGGTGCGTGAAGTTTAAACCGATTGTTACTAAAAGTGACACAGCGATGTGAAAGGTACAACACATTTTGTGAATTTTCTTCAAGGTGTACAAAACAGAGATATAGCGTTGAGGCATGCATAGAAAAATTGCGAGGCATATAAACATCCTAACTTAGAGGGGATTAGATATGTTAAATATTCTCAGAAGAAGGGTTTACGCCTCACTGATCTGCATTCTGTACCTCTGATATAGGAATAATTGAACATGTCCCGTTTAGGTGTTTTGCACTGATTGGCTTGAGTTCACTAGACTTGCGATTGAGATACAACTCTACAGTTATATATTTCAGGAACCGATAGTTTGATTGAAGTTTCTTTAGTTTGAGCTAGTCGAAGTTCTGATCTGCTACACTAAAGAATGCCGCAGTTTCCATAATTTATTCACCGAATCCATTGTTAATACCAAGGTATCTTGTTTGGCCAATGTAATGTAATGACAAAATGCGTATTTGATCCAGCAGATTACTTTTCAAATATTTTGGGTAAATATACATTTTCATAATGAACGTAGTATATCTTTTTAAGGTGAGTGGAATTCATACATTTGGCACGAGAAGCACTTATGTAGGCAGTACCACGCAGGCTGCCCCCATCCCGCCCATCTTGATCGTGCAATCTTGATAACGAAGGGATGCTCCGCCATCCCCTAAGAAAGCAACGCTTTCGACGAGATTAGTGCATAGAGTACGTAGGTACAAGCATCTACTGTAGCTTGACACTGAGTGTTCTATTCCGAAGTGTTCAGGGTGCTTGCGCAAGCACTCTTGGCTAGCAGACAAGTCTGTGTAGCTTGTAGAGAAGTCTAGTGGAATATTTCCCTTTTGGCGTGAGCTGTGTGTAATTAGCCACTTGATAGTCAAGAGATCGCGAACAGGTGTTCCAGCAACAACACATTTGCTTTTAGTCTAGTGAGGGTAGTGGGTATTCAAGATCCATGCTTGTTACAATATGTCTCATCCCTAATCAAAGACGTTGATGAGGCCATCACCTCAAAGAAACTGCAGACCTGTGTGGAAGGCACATCACAGTCACAGTGAAAGGTGGAACAGCAGACTTTCAGAGCCATTTTTTAAACTCTCTTCGCGTAACTGGCCCAAGCACTCTTGCTGAGTATCCACTATGCCGTTAATATTCATAATTTATGGGTAGTAGGCCGGCATTCCCTATGCCATCCTTCATCATTCTTCGGGGAAGCGTAGTATCCCTTACACACTTGCAAGGAATTTTGAGCCAATGGTTCGTGCAGCGGTTGATGACGATCAAGAACTATGGCGGAAGTGGGTATGCGCAACAGTTCTTTCGGTCATCCCAGCGACGCAGGCGCCGCCATGTAGCTGAGCTCTGAAGCTGTCGCACGGTGATAAAACTGCAACGCAGTTCGGTCTCTCAGTAGTCATGAACCAATGAACACGTCTTCACGCTCTGCGATGGTGACGTAAACGCTCGTGACATCACCATCTCGTTCGCCATTTTGACCATCCGCTGCACCACTTATAGTGGCTGGAATGATCGAATAGGTGACTAAGAAGAAGCTTTTGTAGTTGGTTGAAGCATTCGACAAAGCAATCGTTACACTATTCGTATTGCTTGACAGCTAATTGTTCCTATGTTGTTCTAAAATGCTTTACAACTCATATAGTAACGCGATTCCTTTCTCGACATCAAGCCTGCCAAAGACAAGTTTGCGAACAAGTCATAGGCGGTGGCGTGGCTCAGTGGTAGAATAATCGGCTGGCACGCTGGGGACCAGGGTTGTAACCCCACTGCATTCTTGATGTTACTTAGCGAGTGTCATACGATAGTGCTTACGGACACGGCGGCGGCGGACAACTACAGCGCTGCGCGTGAGCCGTGTTGTAATCTCGTTACAGCTTTCCCTGTAAAAGTACGACATATGCTCTGCACTGGTGTTCTGTACCACTAAGCAGTGGTGCCTCCTTCTAACGACTCAGCTAGTGATCTAATGATAGATTTATATCCCAAAACCACCATACGATTATGAGAAACACCGTTGTGAAGGGCTCCGGAAATATCGACCACTTGGGTTTCTTGAACATGCTCCGAAATCTGAGCAGCTGGTGGTCTAATATATGATGATAGCTCAGATAATTGTACTCCTGCTGAACATAAAAGCCGTCCGAAACAGATCGTGATGAAATATTGTGCACGCAACCGCTGTCAGCACAACAGTCACAGCCTGCAGTGGGTTGTAGGAAGCCTCAACAGTAAGTCAGTAATAGTTTCACTGCCAGCCCATAAAAAAAAGCAATGATAGCAGGGTGGCAAGATTCGCTGAAAATAGTTGTTTACACAGAATCTTCTTCATTGAAATCACTCTCTATACACTGTCGCCATTCCCATTGTACTTTCTAGTACGGAACATCTTCATAATTATGTATATTAGCTTTAGAGTCGAGGCAATGGTTCTTGTTGAATGAATGAAAGTTCGGCCCAATGGTACCAGGACTTGGACGCATGCAAAACACAGCACAATGGAAACGTGGTACAGCAGAAAAGAGGGGACGAACCACAGTGCTGGCTGGCAATGGGATGTTTATTGAAAGCACATGCGAGAAAAAAGTTATGCAATGCTCACACCGTTATGACCACATCAAAGCAAAATTAACAGGAAAAAAGGGTAAACCATCTATTTTTATGCATTATTGTGGTCACATGGGCCTGAGTGCTCAAGTAATTTCTTTCATATGTTTTCAATAAACATGCATTTGAGAGTGAGCACTATGGCTGTTGCCCTCTTTTTTCTTGGTACGTGTCACCGTTTGGTTGTGTTTTGGCATATGCTCAAGTGTGATTCAATTGCGAACTATGAAGCTTCTCAGAAAGATGAAATGGCGTAGTATGTTTGATAAATGTGAAGCCGAAAAATTTCAAAAAGCTCTGCTTTGTGGACGCCAATAAAACAGCGAAGCCAGAGGGGTGCTTTTCATCAAGATCACGCATTTATATTTTTCTGGTCTTTCAGATATGTTGTGTCACTGCTGTTTGGTATACACTATTAAGTGTCAGCAACGCAACTTGACTACAACATTTTTGGACAAATAAGCCTTCGTTTAAAACTCTCCGATATGTTTTATCACTGCTCTTCATCAAAACAACACTCTCTAATAAGCTGTCGTTTTGTATTTCAACCACCATTTTTCATAAACCAATATTACTCCTTGAAAGGGCTGTAACGACGGTAACTTGCACACCACTTGTCGTTTTCGTTTTCAGTGAGATTTGTGTGCAGTGGCAAGACTTATTTGCTGTGGTACATGCTCGTTTATGATGATGTTGTTAGATGTCTAGTATAGTTCACACATATTTCCGTGGCACACACGCAGTTGCTGGACTAACTGTAGCCTTTGCTTTGGGGGAACAGTGGTCAATAGTGACAATTATGGAATGTGTATGGCGCATATCCGTTTATGAGGCCCACAAGCGTTACCACAGGTCGCGCACAAGAAATGCTTGACCAATAGCAGCCTCTTTGTGAAAAGGTTTGTTGGTTTTTATTCGTGAAACTGCATCAAATCTTTAATGCCAGGCAATGCCAGAGTAACACAGGTCTGCATAAGAGGATAGCAATTCTGAGCACTTGCTCCATAGAAATGTTGTACATCAATGTTTCTGTCTTTCGTGATGCCTGATGGGCTACGTTATCAGCACAGCAAAAATTTGTCATCTGAATCAATTTATAAGAAATAATAAGGCCACTCCCGCAGATACTGGCTCTTTCTATACCTAAAGCCTCAAGAAAAAGTCTGGATGGTCTAATAAGAAAGTGCACTGGTTTATTTTATTCTCAAATCCTCGAAAATTAGCCGATAGGTTGTGCTTAATATAATTTAATTACATCCATTTGACAACACACCCACATTGCATAAGCAGTGGTGCGTGGTGACTTCAAAACATTCGTGAAATCTTTCAATTTTGCATAGGCGCACAAATTGGCTCACAATCAAACCTTCTCAGGAACTTAGACAAAATATAGTTCAGTCTCATTCTTATGCCTCCCCTCCCTTTTCCGGGTACGCCCTCGGCTTACCTGCAGAATAGGACACTTCAAAACTGGACAAAGTACTTCAGTGGCCGAGAGCTCGTTTTCTTGGAAAAAATCATCGATGGCTTGCCGTGTAATTTCTACACCTACTACGGTGTGGCCCCTTTCGTAGAACCTGTTAGTGACGAATACAGCAAGAGTCGGATTAGAATTTGGAACCAAGACACTTGGAATACAAACTCACCACTTAATTTCACGCATTTTTCCACACATTGGTATGAGGATACGGAGTTTCTTGTTGGAAGCGGTGAAATCATCTTCAATTTCTTTCAGATACCTGAAATGGCCGAAAATGATGCACTGAGTGTATAGTGATTAGCCTTTATCATTGGCACTTTAAAAATGAAGGCAGTGTTCGTGGAAAATTTATACGTTCCGTAAGTCTACTTGCATTTGATGATTACGAAATCTTTGGTATGTATGCTTACAAGTCCTTATACCATTAGGGCGGGAGCCTTAGACCACTCATCAAACGTTGAAAATTACCACTGGGGTTCATGTGGCACGAATATTCGAAAAAAAATATAATACGTGCTAACGTTCTCATCACGTCTTTTTCATGCCCCTTAACGTAGCGCCATCACATAACATCGTAGCTTAGTCAAAGGTGTAAAAATCGCGGAGGCAACGCAAGCTCAAATGGGATGCACAAAGCTTCCGACGCCTCCAATCTTGGAGGTCGTAGAAAACTGTGGGAGGTGCCTTAGAAAAAGGGAGGAGCAGACAGAAGTATAGACTGAGAAGAAAAAGAAGATAGGAGCCACCTTCGAGTCATCTAGGGCGAATAGATAGGACGCCTCGCGAGCATAATAAACCCTATGACAGTCGTGTAGAACAGATTCACTCTGAGTTGTATAGGGTATCTGTGAGCAACTGTGGGCGCAGGTTAGCCAGATGAGGACAGAGGACGTTCGAGGACAACGAGAGACTTTTATATACACGAAGACGGACAAAGGGATACACACAACTTAAACTCACACATATATACACGCGTTCACGGTTCTACGCGAAAGGGAGTTAATGTTCTTGTTCGTCCACTCACAATCTACTCTTGGGGCGTGAACGTTGCGCTTGACCTTGAGCTCTCTGGTAGTCAGGAGGCGGTGTGCCTTGTGCTTGCGGAGTTCGTACCGAGGCGGGGCCCGGTCTAGAAGATAACCGCCAGGGCCATCCCAGTACGGTGGTCAACGCCTGGGCTTGCCTGTACACCACCGAGAACAGCGTACCGCCCGTCTGCCGCGAACAGACCTGGGACAGCGTCTCGCTCCGAGACCAGAACAGCAGCTGCCCGTGACGAACGCCGCTTCAGACCAACATGAGGGCGAAGTGGGGCGATGCCCAGTCCAGGACGCACCCGAGGACTTCAACGCCGAGACGAGGCCCGGACACGGAGGGTCAGAACGAGCAGCCGGGGCGTGGCCCGAACTTGTCCTTGCGCTCTGCTCTCTGGGGTTAGCCGAGCTGTCCCTGTGCCTCGGGAGCTTTTTCACGTGGTACGCGCACGAGCACGCGCATAGGCGCGCTCATAGTTTTACCGCTATCACCATCATGATGATTCCCGCGCAGCTTGATATACTAAATCGGCCCCGCACACCGATTTTCTACGTCAAAGCATGACGCACACTCTTTAGGGCAGCGTTTTTTTACCACATCTTCCCCCCAGTTCAAGAACAGCGAAACGGTGGGGTAAAAGGGTAGGCATGTTCATAGAGTAGACTGGAATGTCCAAGTGTCTCGCCGGTACCATAGGGCACTGTAATATACACTCAAAGATTTACCGGCATAAAAGCGCGCTTTGGCAGCGGTATTCTTTATCATCGCCCATCCACATCGACGGATGACAGTTAAAAAAATAAATAATAATAAAAAATGCAAAAACATGTGACAATATTGTGCCACACCTAAAAGAATCTGTAAACTTTTCAAGTGTAAATCTACTTCATGTGCCTTGAAATAACATTTCAGCTCTTAGGTTGCCATATTTCAGCTCTTAGGTTGCCAGCTCTTAGGTCGCCAGCTCTTAGGCTGCCCGGTGCCTGTGTTCGCCGCAACGGCATGAGTGAGTGGTCGCTGGCCTAGGCATCGGGTCACGAACGTGCGGTGCCGTGCATTCCGTGTGTGGACGCCCTTGGTACATCGTCAAAGACAAAACATTAGCATCGTTGAATGTGTTCAGTTTATGCGTATTGTGTCAGTTGTCTATGTCTTTCAGTTGTGCTCCGTCTTACTTGATAATGTATTTTCTGTGTTCACGGTCACGGCTCTGCGCGTCCGAGTTCCTGGGTCCACGAACAATCACAGTCACCGAGAATAATTGTCAGTTAGGTGAAAGCAGCTGTACGCTTTTAATATGGCAACCTAAGAGCTGAAATGTTATTTCAAGGCACATAAAGTCGAGTTACACTTGAAAAGTGTACAGATTCTTTGAGGTGTGGCACAATCTGGTCACATATTTTTGCCTTTTTATTATTATTTTTTTTCACTGTCATCCGTCGATGTGGATGGGCGATGATAAAGAATACCGCTGCCAAAGTGCGCTTTTATGCCGGTAAATCTTTGAGTGTATATTACAGTACCCTATGGTGCCGGCGAGACACTTGGACATTCCAGTCTACTCTATGAACATGCTTACCCTTTTACCCCACCGTTTAGCTGTTCTTGAACTGGGGGGAAGATGTGGTAAAAAAACGCTGCCCTGGAGAGTGTGCGTCATGCTTTGATGTAGAAAATCGGTGTGCGGGGCCGATTTAGTATTTCAAGGTGCGCGGGAATCATCATGATGAAGATAGCGGTAAAACTAAGAGCGCGCCTATGCGCGTGCTCGTGCGCGTACCACGTGAAAAAGCTCCCGAGCCACGGGGACAGCTCGGCTAACCCCAGAGAGCAAAGCGCAAGGACAAGTTCGGGCCACGCCCCGGCTGCTCGTTCTGACCCTCCGTGTCCGGGCCTCGTCTCGGCGTTGAAGTCCTCGGGTGCGTCCTGGACTGGGCATCGCCCCACTTCACCCTCACGTTGGTCTGAAGCGGCGTTCGTCACGGCCAGCTGCTGTTCTGGTCTCGGAGCGAGACGCTGTCCCAGGTCTGTTCGCGGCAGACGGGTGGTACGCTGTTCTTGGTGGTGTACAGGCAAGCCCAGGCGTTGACCACCGTACTGGGATGGCCCTGGCGGTTATCTTCTAGACCGGGCCCCGCCTCGGTACGAACTCCGCAAGCACAAGGCACACCGCCTCCTGACTACCAGAGAGCTCAAGGTCAAGCGCAACGTTCACGCCCCAAGAGTAGAATGTGAGTGGACGAACAAGAACATTAACTTCCTTTCGCGTAGGACCGTGAACGCGTGTATATATGTGCGAGTCTATGTTGTGTGTATCCATTTGTCCGTCTTCGTGTATATAAAAGTCTCTCGTTGTCCTCGAACGACCTCTGTCCTCATCTGGCTTACCTGTGCCCACAGTTGCCCACAGTTTCCCGAACATGCCGTAACAACAAACGTGTAGGAGATAAACAAATCTGGTTAACAAGACCCGCCATAGAGCCTCATTTTAGTACCAAAAGATAAATGAAAGATTGTTATTCTTTACAAACATAAACTGTCACATTCAGCCACATATGTTGCAGGTATATGGAATGTTTGAAGTCGTTTTGTCGCCAAAAAGAAAGTGAAACACAAAATATAAGTGGAATAACTCAAACAAAGTTGGTAAAAAGCAGGTGTGCGTAATGAGCAAAATTTACGAGAGAAAGCACTGTCCAAGTCAGCTCCAGGCAGAATGGGTATTCCTTATCATATGCATTGTTCAAGTGGCTAGGTTTACAAAGCCATGCCTTGCGAATACAAAAGTAATAGAACGTAAACGCTCACTAGAAGTCAATCAGTATTACCACATGTCAAATCATTGTGATTATCGTGGTTGTGGGACGTTATTTGCGGATGAGTGCTTTTTTGGGGAGTTGAGATATCATGTTGGCTCTCTATTTACGTACAGAATAGGTTCTCGTTCTCCAAGAATGCCTGCTACAGCCCTGCATGAAAGAGAATTGTCTTCTTTGGGCATTTTTTTTTACCTTTTGCAGATTGTTCTGCATAGAGCATCAACGCGCCACCACCGCTTGATTTAGAGCTGCTACCGCACGCTTTCCCGATCGCCATCTCGACTGGCTATCACAACGATATGGCCACCTACCCCACCAACCCCTTTCGTGTACGCTCCGTATACATAATGTAGCTGGTATTCTCATTTTCACTTACGAAAACATCATTTATTTTTGGGGACAGTGGATCACACCAGGAGGGCCTAAATATGGAACGGTTGCTTAGCGAAACAAACAACTATGTGCGCTGCAATCACGTGAGTAGAAAGCTTTGTAATTTCTGCATATATACTCATGGATGAACTGAAGGTCTGTGAAAAGGAATGATGTGGTTCGCCCAGCGCTTCGTCCAGTACTCAATTCCGCTGGTCTTCTGAAGTGACATGGCTTTCGGCGCAAATAGCTGCAATAAAAGACGTCAGTGTCTGTAAATGCGAGAAATGAAGCTTTGTAATGCTCACGGAAACCAGGTAACGTGTGGAAGCTAACGCTTAACTTGCTCGTGATAAGCGAAAGATTCACGACGCAGCAACTGGCCAGTGATAAGGAAAAGCTGAATTAACGCACAAATTGTGATGTCTGTGCAGCAAAAACAAGGCTTTTGTTTACACCAGCTGTCACGCTTCGGACGTTTACTCCCACGAAGCTACGGGTTCATCGTACCCCTGTCACATTATAATCAAAATCCTAATGATACCCGCTGTGAGAAAGTAACTAAACGTGGCGCGTCAGCTAGCGTTGTAATTGTTTCAAACACATGTCCGATTGCCTCACAGGAGCAGCCTGCAATATGTGAGCCTCCTTAGTACGAGCTAGCAATGAAGTGAGGTTTTGATCCCTTTAACAGAACTATGGTGTCACCGCGGAAATAATGTCAAACGCGTATACATCATCTTATTCATCATCAGCTTCAATATGCCAACTGTAGGCCAAAGGCATCTCCCATGATTCGCCAATCAACCTGATGTGGTGCTTTCCGCTGCTACGTTACACCTGCGAACTGTTTAACCTCATTGGCCCATCTAATTTTCCGTCTCCGCTTCGTGCGTTTGCCTTCTCTGGAATCCAGTGAGTTAAACTTAATGTCCAGCGGTTTTCCTGAATACGCGCTACGTGCCCGGCCTATGTACATCTTTCTTTTGATTTCAGCTAGGATATCCTTAACCCCGGTTTGTGTTCCCTCGTGAAATCCGCTCTCTTCTTGTCTCTTAAGATTGCACCTATCATTTTCGTTTCCATCGCTCGCTGCCATTGTTCTAAATTTAAGCTGAGCCCTTTATGTAAGCATCGAGGGTTCTATCCTATAGGTAAGTACTGGCGAGATGCAGCTGTTATATCCTTTCCTCGTGAGGCTTAGTGGCAGATTATCATTGTGATTTGAAAAGGCTTGCTTAATGTAATCCACCTCATTTTTATTCTTCTAGGTATTTCATACCCATCGTTGGGCTCCGCGGTTACTACCTGTCTTAAGTAGACATCTCCTTTTACAACTTCCAGCGTCTGTCCAACTATCGCGAAGTGTTTTTTTTTTGCCGAGGTTGTTGCACCATCTTTTAGTTTTGTGCATATTAATTTTGAGAGCTACTTTTCTGCTTTCCGTGTCCAGCTGAGTAATCACGAGCTGTAACTCAGCCCTCGAGCTATTCATCAAGGTAATATCATCAGCAACTCGTAGGTTACTAAGACACACTCTGCTAACTTTCATTCGTAACTCTTCTAAAACTAGGGTCCTGAAAGCCTCCTCTAAATACGTGGTGAATAGCATTGAAGAGATCGTGCCTCCCTACCTTACACCATTTTTTATTCAAATTCTGTCGTTTCATTTATGAAGAACCATGCATAATGGTTTTCTAAGCGCTGTAGATTGCTCCGTTGTGTTTAATAAAGGTCTTTGACGCCCTATTCCTTAGTGCCTCCATTACTGCTCATGTCTTGACTGAATTAAACTCCTTTTAATAATCAACGAAGGCTATGTGTAGGGGTTGGTTGTATTCTGTGCATATCTCAATTACCTGATTGATAGTAATAATACGGTTTATTGAGCAGTAGCCTGTACAAAACCCTTCTTGGTCCTTTAGATTTTCGAAGTAATATGTCGTCTTTATTAAAATAGCTAGTATTTTTGTAAATAAAGAAGGAACAGTTAGCTGACCAGCTTGTGATTTTATTAGTAAAGATGTCTCCTTTCTCATGAATGAAGATGATGTTGGCGGTCTTCCAGTATTCTGGTACCCTTCCCTTCAGGAGACACTACGTATATCAGGTGGCGAGTTTTTCTAACAAAATATCTCCGCCATCTTTAAGTAGTTGTACTCTTAACTTATTCTCCCCAATGGCTTTGCCTCGTTGTATTCTTTCTCGGGCATTCCGTAGTTCCCCTGTCATTACTAATAGGATGTCTAATTGCTCTGGTCTATTATTTAAATTTTCTACTGTCTATCTGTCTGTATTTTTTCTGTTTGCCCACCCTTAACAGTACTTTATTCGGCGCCAAAGTGGCCAAACGATACTCCAAATACTTGTGCAATTGTACTTGTGCGATTGTACTTGTGTGAACAAATACTTGTTCATACTTGTGCGATTGTTAATTAAAAAGCAAATTTTGCGCATATCTGAGGCACCATAACAACACGTGCGTATTCTGTATATGTGTTTTTTTTTGCTAGGAAAGGCATACATGAGTAATTCTAATGGCCGTAGCGTTTATCACGCTGCTCTGACAATGCAATGTTTGTACAAAAGGGCATGTGTTTCGAGGGCTTTGCTAAGACGACATGGTGGTGGCACCTACCCGTTGCTTTGCGTTCTACACCTTATCACCTCCGGGGCGGACGCGCAGGGCAAGCGTGCTTCGTTTTCCAGGATAACATCCAGATAGCGCTCATGCCTCACGTGTGACGTGACTTGATGGGATCATTCGCCTCCGCTACACGCTCGAGGCACTCTAACGCAGCGCCTTCAGAAAAAAACATTCACCAGTTTTCTTGCTCAGAACATCAAATAAACGTTTTGTTCACTCTCTCCAGACGAAAGACTGTCGTCTTTCGACGATCTTTGCAATGTAACATGCAGATACTGGGCCAATTTTGTTGTCACGATATCTTTCTTGGTGTTTTGGCTTCTGTATAGCTCTCTGTAAAACTCCTCCGTTACCTCCACCATTCTATTCATGTTGGTTACGAGATGGTTTTCCTGGTCCCTAATGCATACATCTGTTTTTTTCCTATGCACAAGTTTGCCTTCGCAGCTTTTATGCTTCCGCCGCTTTTTAGAGACCACTCCATTCTCCCCATGTTATACCTTTAAATATCAGCTACTTTAAGCCTATTGACTAACTTCAAAAACTCTACTAGCTCTATTTTGTCTGTTGCGTTAGAGGATTTCATGATTTGCCGTTTTTTATTGAGATTTTTTTATCGCCTGAAATAGCTTGGCTGTGTTTCGTCCAGTGACTGTACCACCGACTTCTATCGCACATGCAGGTGCGCATGCCCGGCTTTAATTGCTTAAATGTTAACCCTATAACAAAGCATGAGCGAGATGTTGCCTTACCAGTGAAAAACAAATATCACTGAATTTTTATTTCGTCAATGCGTTTGTGCCGCTAATATTGAAATTTTTCAGCTGGCTGTTGGGTGGCCAAAAAACTACTGTTCTTTATCGCCCTTTTCAGGAAAACTTATCTACGTTTTTATTGCTTTGAACACGACGTACGTCTCTTGTATTTAAAAACATTTCTTGTGGAGACTATAACGTCAATAGGAGCCAAATCAGTCCGGTACAGTATCACTTGTCACTGTTTTCTGAGGCCTCTTGTTCTCACACGGTAACAATTATATGCTAGCATAAAGCACTGCTACTGGCTCTTTCGTGCTAGAGCTAATGAATAATAATAGTGAGAGTGCGTGTTTTCTAGTCACATATCAATAGACACCTGTGACCACTTATCTGTTGTCTTGCATCGGCAAATGTTCAAAATCAAATATAAAGGCCCCGGAGCATTTCAAGTCTCAAGAGGAGCTCGAGTCATTTATTACCTACAATGCATTAGTGTGGATTGGTGTCTTGTACACATATATATATATATATACATATATATATATATATATATATATGTATGTATGTATGTATATATAACAGAAGTGATGGTGCATACCACAAACACCTGTAAATTTTTCTGTTAATAAACCTTCAACGTTTTTTTTTCTGTCGCTGCAACAATTTTGTCGACAACTGGTCGCGAACCCCGAATGACTATTCACTTTACCCGACTAGACGAAAAGAAACACACAAAACTTATTTGATGTTTGTTAAAAAAAAGACACACAGACTTAGTACTAGGAGCGCACTATTCATTTTGTAATCACAATATGAAGAGTAGCAAAATTTCTCATTTCAATCACTTATGTCATAAAAATTTTGTAGAAGCCTGTAGATAAATCGGAAGCACCTGAATATTTCTAACTAGAAACTCGTGTCACATGCGTGTGAGAAGTTCAGTAATTTATGGCAATGAAACAACCAGCCCAAATCTCTCCAATTCATTAAAAGTTTTAGGGGGTAAGCTGCCTATAACATCACCTAGTCAGTTGTCATTTCTTGTGTAGTTTCCAAGATGTCACTGTTCTTTAAAGGTACATACAATATGGTGGTTGTGTGAATGTACCATAGTCAGCAATATGAGTTTGAACACGTCAGCGCGTGGCGAATAGCCTCCCACCTATACACCAGAACACAGCGAGATCAGTGTGTGCTGCTTTGATGAAAACCTCGTCACGCCATACGTTGCAAGCACGGTGAAGCGTGCGTGACAGTGTAACCTATACACTGCCGCGCGAGCATACTGCCACGTGAGCAATTTTTTGCTGATGTGCAACCAACCAAGGTGACTGACTTATAAAAAATGAAATAACGTACAGCAGCACAATATACCTCGATGAACATCCTAATATTTTTTCATGCGCGCTTATTAGATTCGTAGGCGTCGCTACGCATAACAGATACACTAGTCCCAAGAACAGCTTGCTTTGTATTATGAACAGTTTTTTTTTTCATTTCCAACACACCTACATTCTGTCGCCCGACGTAAAAGCATCACAGAAATGGCCTTCCTTCTTTTCACAATGCGCTTGAGATGCTTGCTCGTTGTGGACCACGGAACAATTGAATGAAAACAAGTGGCTATCCACTATCAAGAGCCCTGATGTCAAGGATCAACTGTGAGCTGTCCAGAGGGCCCACGATGCGGCGGTCAAGCTAGGCCTGACTGTCCCGACGTTAGAGCGTCCCACTGAGCATTGAGTCATGCACCCGAGGACTTCAAGTAAATTTTCGCCTCCATCCATTTACCCACATACATTGTCTGCTTGTCCGGGGTAATGCAATCTAGTCTAACATGCTAAACTACAAACCTCTCAAAATAAAATGTTCCACAACCCTCTTAACGCTTCCTCCACAAAGC